TAGGCAATATGATTTCCAAAAAATTCCGGTTTCGCAACACTGTGCGACGCCAAAATGTTCTAAACGGCAAAGTTAGAGGTCTACGTAGGAAAACAGCCTGTCGGACCATTTCAGGGTGACACTTCAAATTTAGCATTGGTGTCTCGTCTCTGTTCACCTATCTTGGGATCGAATGGAAATGTTACGTTCGACAACTTTTTCACTAGCGTACCTATAACTGAGGTACTGAAGCAACACCGTCTCACTACAATTGGAACATTACGTAAAAACAAACCTGAGATACCTCCTCAAACGTTGTTGCCTAGACCAGAAAAATCTATCATGTTTGCCTTTAGAGATTAGTGTACACTCGTTTCGTACATTCCAAGCCGAAAAAGAAATGTGCTTTTACTATCGACAATGCATTACGATGATGGTGATGACAAGGAAACTGGCAAACCAGAAATAATCATAGACTACAACAAAACGAAAGGAGGTGTCGATGTTGTAGACAAAATGTGCGAAGCCTACAATTGCGCTCGTGCAACTCGTCGTTGGCCAATGGTCATATTCGGACATATCCGTATTGTATTCGAAAAAAAGGAAGATCTAATAGTATATAATTTTTATACTAGTTGACGACAAAATATTTAGATGTTATCGATGCAACTGTACAAATATTTTTAATATTTAATGAATAAGTGAAAGCATTTTAGTTTCTAATAGTTACCTCAATGAAAGTTGCATTCATTCATTTTTGAATATTCTATAATTAGTACAATTCTAATTTAGGTAATATTTTATTTTATTATTCTTTAAGTTTTCGTTTTTGTAGAACTGATAAAATTTATGTTTTATAAAAATACTTATAAACAGGGAAATACTTCACTCATGATTCAATTACAACATAAAAAAAGTTTAACCTTCATCCGGGCGCGTGCGCGGTAGATTACCGTCATCGGCATGAAAGTGTATAGAATCTTTCCCTGAAGGGCCATTGAAAGGCGAAAAGGAGATGTATTCTCTAGTTCAACATTTTGACGCTAGATGCCATCAATACTTTACCTTGGTTCGGCGATCTTTGGCTTCAGTAGTCGTTCAAAGTTCGAGAGGTGCGTTCTGCGGTAGTTTACCGTCAAGCGCCCAAAGACGTGATATTTTTTCGCCAAACTCAGAACAATATGTAAGTGATAATTTCATCCATTTTTACTTGTAGTTACCTATTTTATTATTATTATTATAATCATTCAAATTTTGGTTTCATTTTCTATTACCTAAGCTATGCTATCTGGAGCAATTGAGTAAGAACCTTTCGATAGCATTACATTATATTCCTGTTCACAATAGTTGTTCATCGTGATAAGGGTATGTAGTTACCTATGTGTATTTTTTCAGGTATTCACACTTACTTGATTGTAGAGGTAAAAGGATTCTGGCTCTTTTAGACCGGGATTCAGATGAAGAGCCTCAAATAGGAATCCAAGAAGAGGAAATCGATGATCCAGAAGATATTGATTTTGATTCTCAAGAGATTCACGTAGATGAACACATCAGTGATTCCAAGGTTGAATTAGAGGACGCTCCGTTTTTCGAGGAAATGACCGACCGCAGTGACGAAGATGAGACCGAAAACATTTCATTTTTCATTGGAAAAGATAATGAAACGTTGTGGGCTAGTAAACCTGTATCGAGTACTGCAAAAACAAGGTCAAAAAACACCATAAAAACAATTCCTGGACCCAATAGAGAAGCTAGAAAATGCAAAACAGAACTTGAATGTTTTCTTCAAATAATTTCATTGGAAATAATTGATGACATAGTCAACTATACGAACATTTTTATTGCTAAAAGGCTAGCTCAACGTACAGAATTGTCTGAGACTCCGATACGTGAGAGAGACTACAAGCCGACCTCAAGGTCAGAAATGAAGGCAGTTTTTGGAGCTTTGTTTCTAATTGGAGTAAAACGTGGCAACCGTGCTGATTTTTCAGAATTTTTTAAGAAAGACGGGACAGGATTGACAATATTGAGAGCTAATTTTAGTGAAAGACAATTTCGATATTATAGTGATAATGAGGTGAGAAGGTGAGTGCGGTGAATAACCGTCAGGCGCCCGTCTGTGCTACGATGAGGGACGCGCCTGGATGAAGGTTAAGGGCTTTTAAGTTAGTTCAATTAGTTTTGTAAGAGTTCATGTGTGGCATTCATGATTCATATGTAAATTAGACTGTAACAAGTACAAATCAATATAATATAAAAAATAATGGTAGGATATCAACATATAAAAAAAATATGTAATTTATCAATGATTCAACTGAGTATGTAAGTTACTGTCATTAGTATTGAAAACATGTTTTAGCCATATTGTATTTATGAAAGACAACATTTATAGGGCATTTGAGGGCTTTATAGTTGGTTTTGTACAAGTTCTTGTGTGCCATTCATGATTTATATATAAATTAGACTTTGCAACAACGTAACGAGTTACATAAAATTAAAAAAATCTGGAATGAATTATGTTTTTTTAGTTAGTTCTGTAAGAGTTCTTGTGTGGAATTCATGATTCATATGTAAATTAGACTACACCAACGTAAAAAGTAATGTAATATAAAAAAATAATGGCAATATACCAACATATAAAAAATATTATAAAATTTATCAATGATTCAACTGACTATGTAAGTTAGTCATTAGTATTTAAGAAATATTTCAGCCATATTGTATTTATGAAAGACAGCATTTGTAGGACATTTAAGGGCTTTTTAGTTAGTTTTGTACAAGTTCTTGTGTAGCATTCATGATTCATCTATAAATTAGACTTTGCAACAACGTAAAAAGTTACATAAAATAAAAAAACTGTAATAAATAATATATTTTTTCATTTAGTTTTGTAAGAGTTCTTGTATAGCATTCATGATTCATATGCAAACTAGACTACAACAATGTAAAAAGTTATATAATTTAAAAAATAATGGCAAGATATCAACATATAAAAAAATCTTATGTAATTCATCAATGGTTCAACTCTAACAATAGTGTTAACAGATTTTCATCAAACAAGGTAAATTATCTCAGATCACATAGGGAAGCATAAAATTGGAGCTTCCCAAAATTCAGTACCCGGGTCATTTCGATTTTTTATCTTATTTGTATCAAACTGACGTGCTAATTTTTGGAGAGACTTAGGTTTAATTTTTACTAACGATAAAACAATACTGAAATATATGTAATATATTAGAAAAAGTTCTGCTCCTGATATTCTTTTTCAAAATTTTCCACATTGGAGATATATCAATATTTTTTGGAATTTCAATAAATTGAAATATTGCTGTAAGATGATAAATATACGATTCAATGTAACACGGTTTTCAGAGATCTACATCATCCACAAATAGAGTCAACATTAAAAACTGATATATTCCGTGAAAACCGATGAAGAACCTATCTATCTCTAAATATAGGGCCTACCATTTTTTCTTTTGTCCAAACATAAAGTCGTGAAAATGAAAACATCAAAAGTCTTGGAATGAAATCGTCGATTCGTCTTAAAATATTTTAAGATCATATAATTTATGACGTATTTATTCTAGAACCCGTCAGTTTTTCATGGACGTTATTTGATCATTTTTAGACTAATTTTCACTTTCCACTTCTGCTCGAATACCAAATCGTAAGTATTCGGACGTATCCGTATTGTGTTAAAAAAAAATGAATATCTAATACTCTAGCATTTTTATACTAGATGAGGACAAAATATTTAGATGTTATCGATACAACTGTACAAATATTTTTAATATTTAATAAATGAGTGAAAGCATTTTGGTTTCTAATAGTTATCTCAATGAAAATTGCATTCATTCATTTTTGAATATTTTATAATTAGTGCAATTCTAATTTAGGTAATATTTTATTATTGTGTAAGTTTTCGTTTTTGTAGGACTAATAAAATTTATGTTTTATAAAAATACTTATAAACAGGGAAATACTTCACTCATGATTCAATTACAACAAAAAAAAAGTTACATATCAATGATTCAACTGAGTGAATAAGTGGCTGTTACCTATTAGTATTTAAGAAATGTTTTAGCTATATTTTATTTACGAGATACATCATATGTAGGGCATTTGAGGGCTTTTAAGTTAGTTCAATTAATTTTGTAAGAGTTCTTGTGTGGCATTCATGATTCATATGTAAATTAGACTGTAACAAGTACACATCAATATAATATAAAAAATAATTGTAGGATATCAACATATAAAAAAAATATGTAATTCATCAATGATTCAACTGAGTATGTAAGTTACTGTCATTAGTATTGAAAAAATTTTTTAGCCATATTGTATTTATGAAAGACAGCATTTGTAGGACATTTGAGGGCTTTACAGTTAGTTTTGTACAAATTCTTGTGCATCATTCATGATTCATATATAAATAAGACTTGATTCACATATTGGCAACAGCGCGTATATCAAATTGAAATAATTAATATGTACCTAGATATTGTAGAGAACCCGGCGTGGAGGGAATTTTTAATTCACGATCCAAAATCGACGTTTGTGCCCGGCTAGGCAAGTGGGTTCAAAAAGTCGTCGCCGAGTCTCCCAGGAAGACCAGAGCCGAGAGTCCTCTTGACTCTCGGAGGATCTTGGTTCAGCCGAGTACCTCTTCGGTACTGACTGCACCTCGTATGCAAGTAGATTGGAGTTGTTTAAATTTTTTAGACAAAATTTCGAGCTATTATTATGTCCCTGAAGTTAAATAAAGCTAGACAAAAACCGCGGGGGTACGACAAGCCACCACGTTGGCCGCTAGGACCGGACTTGAAGTGTCCCTACCGATCCCTGAACCTAGTAGAAACCAACACGCGACGTTACCTGCCTACTCCTAGCCCGATGATGCTATTAGTTCCCGGGAACTCAAGGGCGTTTAAAGCCTCTGCTTGTCAGTGCAATGAGGGTTCCCTCGTGGAAACTCTCCTAGACAAACCAGTTAGGCGTGCTCCTGGCTGTATTGGCTGCGGTTACAGCAAATACGGCGACAAGAGCCTCTTCCTTGTTTCCCTCGTTGCACTAGTGGTGTCTGCGTCCCTGAACTGCACAAAATTCACGTTAGTAAAAAGTTCAAGATTAAAAAGTCTTACCAGGCTTTCGGTTATCACTGTCCTCACTATGTCCTGTCACTTGTGCACTACGAATCTTTTAGTATCACTATAAATAGTTTCGGTTGGTTTAGCCTTGATAAAGGCTGATTGTTTTTAAGTTCACTGTCTCAGTGAATCAAAGCGAATTCATTTTGGGAAGTGGGTTTGTTTTCAGAAGCCACTTGTAGCGAATTTCTGTCGGCAACTCGATACACTGCTAGCTGCACCAATACCCAAAACTGCCAAGGATTGTTTGATATCGAATCTGTAGATCGAATCTGATTTAGATATAATCGCCTCTATAACGTAGTCAAAGAGCTGCATTCAAATCTAAGTACGTGTAGATATACTATTGTTTAAATAGATGTAACAACGAAGAGAATAATTATTATCAGCTTAAAATAACTGTGAACGCTAAAAACTCGAGTCAGACTTGTGTATGCAAAGCCGAAACGAGAAGTGAAGAAACTGCGATTTCGCAGTTTCTTAAATACAAAACCTGCCTAGAAATCCTCGCTTGCGGTTGGCTCGCGCTTGCCCCGCCTACCTGCTCTCGCGTTCGAAGAACGGAATGATGGATTTTCTGGCTCTGAACGCCGAGTATATCGGCGTTCAGTCTACCGTCCGGCGTTTGGACTTAGAAATTTATTTATCATGTAATTTCAACAACCAGCTGTCTTCCTCGTCTATATATATGATTATACCTTCGCTCGTGAGCTTGGCTCTCGCGAAGTTTATCTTTCTCCTGTTCAGTTCCCTGGACACGTCTGTCCACTTTGTCTTGTCGTGTAATACGATCGGTGGCGGTTTCGATGGGTCGACTGGGGGTTGTGTTTGCGTTTGCGCCTCCGGTGTCTCAGCATTCGGGTTTGGCCGGACTTGTGGCCATACTGGTACCTCTGGGAGTTTTTGTTTTTGTTTGTTTGGCATCTCCGTTTCCGTTGGTGCCACTGTTTCCGTCTCCATTTCTTCTGGTTTATTGTTTACGGCAATTAGCCGCACGGTTCTTTTCCTGGCTTTTCTTGATTCGGTTTTTACAAAACCGTCCTCCGTCTCTGTGTCCGTGGTCTCATCTGTTTTCCTTTGCCTCTTCTGGGAGATTTCTCTTCCCGTTTCCTTGTCATTCTCGATGACTTCGGGTTTTTTGGTCTTTTCCTCTTTGTTTGTCTTTTCGGTTTTACCCGTGGCTGGGGCTTTGGATTCCTCCTGCTTCTTCTCCTGTTTTTTCCCTTTTGTGTCTGGTTTTGCTCTTTCATTTTCCTCAAGTTTTTTCCTGAGCGTCACGTTTTCGGCCAGTATCTGGCCGAAATTTTCCTATTTAAGTCTGTTATCTGACTTACCATTTTGTCTAACGTATCCCTGAGTTTCGCATTGTCCTCTCTTAAAGCTTTACACTCTGCTTCCATTTTTAATCTCTCTGTGATTCTAGAATAAAATTCCTGAAAATAAGTGGGTTAGTTTGTCGAATTCTTAGTTCTGAGAAGAACTATTTTCCATAAGATGGTTGGATTCTTGGGTATTGGTGACAATATTTTACTTTGAAAAAAGGAAAATTATCTTTATAAATCAACAATTAAGGCAAAATATAAGTTATAGTTCAATAACACCTCCACAAGCCACAGAAAAAACAGTTGTTTTGTTATTTATTTATATGGAGGAAGGTAGGTTAGGTGCACAAAATGTCATATGTCTCGGAACTCGGAACATTAGTAAACAGAACAGAACGCCTCTGAAATATGTCATCTTTGTTTGTCTCAAACAAGTAACAGATAATTTGTCCTTTATTAGCTATAACCGTTGTTGCCAAATGGTGAAATAGAAACGAATCCCTTTAAATGTTTAATGCATTATTTCATTCCTCTTTTTTAAGTATTTAAATATTTCTTCAAAGAAAAAGGTTGAAATGATAAGTTTAAAATGCGTTGTTTTAGAGCTCTTTTATGAAAATTACTTGATTTTCGTCAGGAGGAACATTTCCCATTATTGAAGTAACAGTCAAAAAATAAACTATTAGTAAACTTTCTGTTTTGATGAAGAGATCTTATATTTTTTAAAGAAGTTCGTATTCCCATAGTGATCCAATGTTTCCGTTTCTTTTTGTTAATTCTTTGTTTGGGAAACGCGGTCTCAAAATGTTCAACAAGTATTCCACAGAATTCCTTCGAATGGTGTCTCTACTAACAACACACTATTCCAATTAGTACATGAGTTTGAAATGCGTTGTTTTAGTGCTCTTTTATGAAAACTACTTGATTTTCGTCAGGAGGAACATTTCCCATTGTGGATATTATGGCAAGACCTGCGAGTTTTCGTCGTGGCTTTGCGAGAATGATTTTTAAAAAGGGTTGAAAAACTTTTGGAAAATGACAAATTACTTTATTCAATATTGCACAAAAAACAAATGACGAGTGACGAGAGGCATCATTACTAACAGTTTTATATCAATGCTTTCAATCAGCCAGGGTAGTGCCGGGCGCTACTCCGACTAAAACCCCCCCTTTCCGCCAGGATAACCTGGAACTGTCCAGATGATATTCATCAGGCTACCTGCGTACCAGTGAGTTATACCTGTTCAGCTTCTACTTCGTTCTGGCTCGTCCGTTCTTCGTCTTCTTTTTTCTTCATTATTTCTCTAACGAATGTCTCGCCTTTCTTCCAGTGAGTTTCATCTCTTAGCATTAAATCAGTCAAATTTTCAGAAGTTACGTCCAAGCCAAGGTCATTTGTTAATGTAGTTCTTATTCTACCCCAGCTGTTACAGTGGAATATGTTGTGCTCCGGGTCGTTCCTCTCTCCGCAGTATATGCAGCTGTCATCAGTTGTTTACCCTATTTTCCGCGTATAAGCCCTGAAAGAACCGTGGCCTGTGACCTGCGTCAAAAAGTAAATTGTGGTTTTGAACTTGCAGTGTATCTTCGTCCACTGTGCTTCTCTTGTAAAGCATTTCACCTCTCCTGACGAAGAAATATCGTCACCTTCTTGTCGGCCTGTCTTGATTCCTTTGTAACATTTTCGTGAGCGGCGATTCTCGCCCGTTCTTCAACCAGCAGGTCCGTGGGAGGGATCCCTGCGACAACCGCTGCCGCATCGGCTGATACGGTCCGATACGCTGAGATTACCCTTAAGAGTATCCGCCTTTGAACTGAAATTATCATCCCCTTATATCTGCCCACCCTCATTGCAGTCCTCCAAACGGGTGCCGCGCAGAGGAGTGTGGATTGCACTACCCCGTACATCAGGCGCCTCTTGTAGTATCCGGGTTCTCTGATGTTCGGCAGAAGTTTCGCTAGCGCCGCACATTGTCTTTCCGCCTTTTGACATATCCTTCGCACGTGCTCACTATAGATTATTTTGTCGTCCAGACCGACCCCAAGATATTTTACATATTTCTTGGGTCTGGCCTGAGCTGCATCGATCGTAAAAGCAATGTCCTCTCTCATACGCGGTCCCCTTAGAATTATCGCTTCTGTTTTATGTGTTGCCATTTCCAATTTATTTTCCCTCATTCAGGCATTTATCCTAGTGAGTGCTGTGTTAGCATTTGTGATAAGGTATTCCTTCTCATTCGCCCTAACTGTGAGTGCTAGGTCATCCGCGTAAGCGACAGTGTTGCATCCTTCTGTAGCTCCAGTCTTGAGATTCCGTCGTACATCATGTTCCAGAGGGTGGGACCGATAACGGATCCCTGTGGAACGCCTTGTGTCAGGTCCTGTCTGTACTTCTTACAGACGATTGACCTATCACTCAGATAACTTCCGACGAGACTCTGCAGATATCCGCTGATGCCCATCTGGTTTAGGTTTTTTCCTTATTAGCCATATTGGCCATCAGAGATGCCTTCTTTTTCCCCAAGTTCTATCTCAAGTCCAGCTTTGACCATTTGGTCGAATACTTTCCCTAAGGATTCTAGAAGGGAGATTGGTCTATATTTGGTTTCAGGTCCCTCCGTGTTTCCTTTCGGAATGAGTGCTGCCTTGGCCACTTTCCAAGACCGTGGAAAAACTTCGGTAGTGAGTAACGTGTTCATAAGACTGAGGATATTCATGGGCATTGTCCAGGCGGCTACCTTCACTGTTTCCGGTAGTATTCCGTCCAGTCCGGGGGACTTTTTGTTCTTCATTTTGTCCGCGGCAATCTAGTTCTTCCATCGTGAAATGTACCGATTCATCCGATTCCTTTCGTTGTCCCATGTGCTCCTCGTCGCAGTTTGGGAAAAGCTCTCTCAGCATGGCTGCATCCTTTTGCGGATCGATTTCATATGGGTGTTTTATTATGCCCAGTTGTTTAACCGCAATCTGATATCCCTGTCCCTACGAATCATCTTCCAGGGCATCGCAGAGCTCTTTCCAGCTTTCCCTTTGTGAGCGGTTCATTTCCCGCCTAAGTTCCCTTCTTGCGCTTTTGTACATCCCCTCTCTATTCCTTATATCCTCCAGGTCTCCGTTCGTTCCTCTCGCTCTTATTAAGCCCCTCCTGATGTGATTGCGTTTGACTCTGGCTTTTTGGATGTCATTATTCCACCAGACGGGTTGTTTTTTTCTCCTCCCGCTCTGGCCTTGGTCTACTGAGGCATTTCGACCATCCCGTAGTGCTTTACTCACGCCTTCCAGCTGGTTTAGGTTACCCTCCACCAGCTGAAATATAATTGTTAATATGTCCTTGTTTATAATTCGTGCTTTGAATCCTTTCCGCCTTCTAGTATCACTTGTTGTCTCCACTGTGTAGTATATATGTCGATGCAAGCTCATAGTTTCTTCCGTGGATACCTTCTAGATGCTTACTCTGCCTGCCAGCCTCCGAGTTGTTAAAGTGATGTCTATTATAGAGTTCTGTGGTTCTCTAGCAAATGTTGGCGTGTGTTCAGAGTTTAGTATAGTGAGGTGTAGCGACTGAATCCTTTCTGCTAGGTATTCCCCTCTTTTGTCAGTGGTGTCTGAGTTCCAGAGCGCCGACTTTGAGTTGAAGTCACCAGCAATTATGGTCTCCTTTTCTGCGTTTCTAATGTGGTCCATGACAGAGTCCACATATATATCGAAATTCCTTTGTCCGGTGTTTGGGGAGTTATATATCGTGGGGTCAATACTACAACTAGGTAACTACAATTCAGCTGTTTCGAGAAAAACGCAAATTAAAGTTTTAGTAAGGTTTTGGAAGACTGTGGAGACTAAACTAAAAGTTATCTTACTACCATTTCTGGATTATATTTTATTAGAAGTATTTATGTCTCGTTTTGACCACAATTTTCTAAGAATTGACGAGACAAATTCCTTGAAATATAATGTATCCTAAAAAAAAATCAGTTACCTAGTTTTAGCAATAAGGATATTTTTGATGTTGAGTTAGAAGTACTTACATTCCAAATGATCAATGTTGTATTTAATAAATGAATTGTTTTTCTTAATGATTAATTTATTTCATCAAATATGCTGTTGCGTGTGCGCAATATTGGTTGGTTAATGGAATGAGCAAGTAGGCTGGCTGCGACTAGTTTATCATATATTTGTTCAGGAATTGTCATTTCGTGATTCACCTGTTTCGAACTAAGTTTATAATTCAAAATAAAACTAGATAATGGTCCAATTGTCAATTCAAGAAAAAATCGAAATTATACGTAGGTATTTTGGGAGATAATTACCGAATAGAATATTCAATGAAAGACACCCAAATCGTCCAGCCATAAATAACAGCACAGTACATAAAATTTGCCAAGTATTCAATCGGACTGGAGCAGTATCCACGTATATTTTGAAGAGTCTACGAAGAAGGAATGTAAATAATCAGACTATATTAGCTTATTTCAGAAATAATCCAAATGAAAGTTTCAGGGTAGCCAGCTAAGATTTAAACTTACCTAGGGGTAAGACGATGTCTGCGAAAAAGCAAATTGAAGGCATTTCAACCAAAATTTTTGCACACTCTAGAACCAGGTGATTAAGAAAAAAGTTTGGAATTTATGTGCCCAGGACGGCTACCTTAACGACAGACATTTTTTAAAGAATGTTTTATTCAGTGATGAAGCTAGTTTCACAACAAATGGAGTGGTTTCATCACAAAATATTCGATATTGGGCCACTGAAACAAGAAATTTATATTTTCAGTTAGATGGCTGTTCTGTTCATAATGCGGGAATTGCGAAGATTTGGCTGAATCAAAACTACCCTAATCGTTGGATAGGATGGGGGAGTAGATTCATTGGTTGGCCACCTAGATCGCCTGACCTCACTGTACTGGATTTTTTCCTTTGGGGCTATGTCACACAAAATGTCTACAAACCATGACCAAGGCATCGAGCGGAACTATATAATTACGGAGTACTTTAAAAAATGTTCGCAAGCGATATCTGAATGTTGGATGTTTGGTAGAGGCTACAAAAATTTGAATTGCACTCATTTTAGTTTCAACATATTACCATCTCCGATCCTATTATGTGCATTACTTGTGAATAAGAGATTGTTTTCCACTAGTTTGTTGCAATTCGAAATAAATGCAGGTGTTTTGTGATCTGAAATTAATGACATTAAAGTTTGTTTCATAATTGGATTCATTCATATGATTCATACATTTCATACTTTTTTCATGATACAAGGATCCGAATTATATTTAGATAAATATCATTTCGAATCCAGTGGTGTAGTCAAAATTCCATTGAACGACAAATTTTTCTCCCTTGTAATTTTTTCATTAACCTTCCGCAGATAACGTGAAGGAAATTATAATTTTTGATAACGTCGGTCTATGAAACCGACCTATTCGAAAATCTAAAAATAAATGAATATCATTTGTTGATGACAAATTTGTATGATATTATGAAAGTTTATCTTATTCTCTATGCGTATATATCAAATTCATAATATTTTTGTTGTTTGAAATATAAAAAGGAGAGGTAATGAAAAGTGTCGATCTTATGAACAGGCTTTTGATCGATTCAAAGTAACCATACAAGAAAAAAAGTATCTGGATTCGATAAAACACGAAAATAGTTACTTGCATATTAAAAAATGTGAAAAATAAACTTCAACTCTTGAAATCCATATGGACGACTGAAACTATTACTCCAAATATTCAGCTTCATAATCTTCATGACAATCTCTACATAATCCAGTAAGGTGCTCTAGACACAAATATTTCTTACATTTAGTGCAATAATATTTTATTCTTCGACTTTTTTTAGTGCTGCAGTACGTACATCGTCCATGAGTTTGGTTCTGAGGAACAACATTATGAGTTTTTATTCCACACATTTCAGAAAGTCGTGCACGGATTATCCTTGGAATATTTTGCTGCTGAGCTCGTCGACGAATATGTGGATCGAGCAATTGAAATCCTAAATCTTCTAAGAATTTCCTTCTGCTAATTTTTGTTTGGTTATTCGAGTTATAAATTATATAACTATTTATTCCAGCAACATTCATGGCACTATAAAAAATGACCATTGGCCAACGACGAGTTGCACGAGCGCAATTGTAGGCTTCGCACATTTTGTCTACAACATCGACACCTCCTTTCGTTTTGTTGTAGTCCATGATTATATCTGGTTTGCCAGTTTCCTTGTCAACACCATCATCGTAATGCATTGTCGATAGTAAAAGCACATTTCTTTTTCGACTTGGAATGTACGAAACGAGTGTACACTTATCTCTATAGGCAAACATGATAGATTTTTCTGGTCTAGGCAACAA